ATGCTTGGTTTGAAGTCTAGGGGAAGTACGCATGAGCAAGCATAGTAGGTCAGTTAGCGCTAGTGCGTCTGATGTATGTTGCTGTTCCATTTTTGCTGCGGTAAGCCTGACTCGCGAAGCGCCGGCTTATTGGCCAGGACAGTCACCAGCCACCTCTGCGTCTCATCGCCTATGTTCGCGAGTCACGCCCCCCGGCCAACGCGATACCGAGTTGTCAAGGGTGGTGCAACAAGCGTGCAACAATCGCTTGAGCCAAAGCCAGGCTCTGCGCGGGCCTCGAGCATCAATGCTAGCAGGCTGTAGATCAAGGCGATATGCGTCGGATCCTAATATAATGGGCCTAAAATTGAAGGTTTATGTTCCATTCAGGATCCTGGGACTGTTCCGGGGTCAAGGTGCGGCAATTGCGGTGGGTGTTTGCCTCCCCGCCGTAACAGAAGACAAAGGCATGCGGTGTTTGACTTGTTGAGGCACGGCTTGCGTTGCTTTGGTTTATTCTCATTCGAGGCGGGTTTCTCTTGTTTTAGCTGGATGCTATGGCGTCAGAACTCATCTCTCCAGTTGGTCCCTGTCGCTGGGCTCAGGCCGCAGGCGTATGTTCAACGTCACTGGTGCCTCCGGCGCCTGGGTGGTCGGCTCTTGCAGAAACCTAGGCGCGGGCTTCAGTGAAGGCTATACTCCAAGCCTTGAAATTTGATAGGAGAGTAGGGGGGCCGTCCCTTCAAATCATCTAATTGTTCATTGTATTTCCACCAGGTCCACGTTTTACGAAATGCAAGTTGACACAAGTTGACACGAGTCACAACGTGGTGAAAACCAAGCAAGACATGAAAGGAAGAACGACCTACCAGGAAGCAATGAAAAGACAGGAAAACACAGGCTCAACCGAGGCAGAGGCCAAGTCCAAATAAAGAAGCATAGTCAACTACTGAAACACGCGCGCCAAGAAACACCGGTTTGCAGAAGGCCTCAAAGGACGGCTCAAGGCCGTCGCTCCAAAACATCACTTCAGGAAAAAGGCGCGCATACTCGCAGCGGCGCTTGGCCCATGGGGGTTAGTGTCTGGGCCAAACAGGGGCAACAGGGCTGCCGCTTGAAATTCAATGAAGGGGGTTGAAGGAGAGGGTGTGGGAGGCTGTGTGGATTTGAGAGGGTGATGTGAAAAGCGAACTCGCCGCTAAGGTCGCCGCAATGTTGGAGTGGGCAATCCAATATTAGATATCTTTTGAGGGGACACTGCTAATCATAAGAGTCATGTCACAACATGCTAGCGCTGACTGCTTCACCTCCGTCGAGCGCGAACCAGTTTTGCGCTTTCATGGGGTTGGCCTTGTCATTTGCTTTGCTTTTTTCACTGCGCTCGCCTCGCGCAACCTCTTACGGACTTTGGTGGAGTCGACCTTCAAACACCTTTTTTGCGGCGTGGGGTGGGGGGGGTGGGGACCTTCAATTCCTCGGCGTCTGGTGATGCTAACCCTTGAGAAAAGGAAACGACAGAGAGAAAGTGAAAGAAAGAGATAAAGAGCAAGATCGAAAGGGGAGGAGATGATGAGGGAGAAAGAAAAAAGAATCAGAGAGAAAGAGAGAGAAAAAGGCAGGGAGGAGGAAGGGGAAACAAAAAGCGCTCCCAGCCATAGTTCTCGTTTGGTTGAAACTTCCGCTTCTCTTTGCCGGTCTAGGATTGTGTGTGCCGCGACTGGCAACACACCGACGGGGCTGTTTCCAGATACAACCGCGCTACCTTCCTGAATTGGCTAGGCCCTTTTGCCAGGATCATCCCAGTATGCGCTTGGAAGCTAGTGAGTACAGTAATTTGGCTGGCTAGTGGGTTTGGGTTACCAAGCCAACTACCTACTAGGTTGGCAAGTTAGTTTGCGAGTTACTTGCTAAGCTGGCTGCTTTAGTGCTTTAGTCAGCACTCGTGAAATATGTTTGCTAGCTATTTAGCTACTAGCGCAGTTAGGCGCATACGTTCCCAGCCACGCATGGACTAGCTAGTCAGTGCGTTAGCCAGTCAGGTGGCTAGCTGGTAGCTAGTTTGTGAGCTGGCAAGGCATGCCGCAAAGTGAGAGCGCAGCGCATTCAAACCCCAACCCACTGGGGGCGTGGAGGGATCCACTAGGCTTAGACGTGAAGCATCCTGGAGGCTTGGCTAGCGCCGGTGGGTTTTAGGCACTGCGCATATCTCCAACATGGCTTACTTAATGCAACATGCATCGCGCAGACTGCGTTCCTCTGGCGCTGTTGCTTTATTTTTATGTCATCGTTCAGGCCATGAAGCCTGGCTCCTCGACGTGCTGATGCTCAGCATAGGGGTGATACTTCTTTGTGCTGGCACGCTTCTTTGCCATTTCTCGCGGTGGCGCTCTGTCCATGAGCAGCAGCATCAGGACGGCAAATGATGTTTGAATCTTGTTGCAGTCATTGTCAAGAGACGCAGATGTTCTCAGCTTGTGACCCGACAGGACAAGACTGAAGTCCGCCCTTCTTGGAACCGCAAAGTCTAGGCTGGTCACTTTGGTTCGATGCGGTGGCCTGTTTGTGCGGCATCGGGACTGGCTGTTTGTGCTGTCAGGCTGAGATGCTCGGAGAACAAAGCCCATGCTTGTTTCTGCCAGGCGCTTGTAACGCAATTACGACGCCTTGGGAGGGAGCGGACATCTGAGATCAAAGAACGGATTCGGGGTCCAGCTGAAAAATGGACTGCAATAGTTGGACAATTCCAAATCCACGATCATGGCCTGTCCACAGGCTGTGTTGGTCTGGAACTGCGAGCTGCCGAGAGCTACCAAGGTTACTACCCACGCTTAGCCGCTTAGCCATTTGAACATGGTCGTCGTCATTGTCGTCATCATCATCATATCAATTCACAAGTAAAGCAACTAATTACAAGATGAAAGGTGAAGTTGCTGACACATTTGACGTGTCTGTTGGATACACGATGGATTTGACGATGATTCATGTCTGCAATTCGTTGATGCATGAGCATATGGGGCCTGAAGAGCCTGTTTGCTGAATGCAAAACGCATTGCACACCGTAATTCGTAGTATGTTTGCCACTTAGAGTGCCATTCGGTTGTAGTTAGCATGCTGCTGCTTGACATTCAGAGTCGCCTCCTGAGACGATGACAAGCAATTTGGGTTTTGGCAGCACCACGTCACTCTGTAAGAGGTACTGAGGAACGCCAAGAGTGCAGCCATGCAAAATCAACCCAACCTGGGTTGCCTGAGGCAACCGCCACGATAATAGATAGGCGAAATGTGCCATGCAGGACTCATCAGGACCAGCAGTTGGAGGAACCGCATGATAAATTCAGGGAAAAATTGGGTCTCGTGAAAGAATGCAGGCTTGTTTGTGTTGGTCAGCATTTGTGGCAGTGGCGCATCCAAAGCGTGGACCGCACGAAGCAATTTACCCGGCGTTGACTTTCTGCGGCATGGCAATCATGTTGCCATGGTGCCGAATTGGCGCTTGGGGGGCCATTCTGTATTGAAGGCCTGCAGTTGTAATATATTGTAATTAGCATGCTGCTGCTTGACATTCAGAGTAGCCTCCTTTGCAGCAGTGTGTTAGTCTTCAATATGTAGGAACGTCAAGCGCGCAGCCCTGCAAGATCAAGGCGCATGTGAGCCAACGCGACGGATGTCTAATGACAACCTGGCGTGCCTAGGTGTTCTTAGGTGTGCGCATTTGCGCTGCTTATTTAGCCGGTAGATATATCTTGCACGTCACGGCTCCTTCGTTTCTCACGGCAAGTTCTGAGACGCAACGCATCTAACAACCGTTGAACAACTATGCAGGCCAATTCGAAGAACCATGACGAACTGAATTTGAGGCTGACCGCAGAGGACCATCAAGGTAGAGAAACATCATGAATTCACCGATGAATTGTGGGAGGGGTGTTTCTTGTTTTGCTGTTGCATCAGCACGGCTCCACTCATACGCCAATCCATGGCTATGTGGCTCAAGCCTGATGCAAACTTTTGCGCGCCCAGAGCTCTATTTGCTGATGAACCTATCACTCGTTTGTCTTTTCTCTGTCTCTCTCTCTCTTTTCTTTCTTTGTCTTTGTTCCTTGCCTCTTCTCTTTGCTCTTTCTCCTGCCCTAACGCGAAAGTGAAGAGACTTCCGAAAGTCCCGCGCCTGTCACAAAATCTGTACCTGACCTCGCGAACCTGAAGTCGCGAAAAGCGCGCGCGTCTGCAGGCGCAGGTCCGAATGCGCTCGAACGCCAGCTTTCGAGCTTCCGCAGGAAGTGGAACCGGGTTGTTTTTTTGTTTTTGAACGTTTCGATTCGCCCGCCATGGTCAAGATCAAACCACGCCTCCCCTGTGCTTATTGCATCAAGGAAACATGTGTCATCACCTGATGGATAAGATAGCATCAGCTCATGTGTTCAGTTAGTTTGTCGCAAGTTCGTGGCAAAGCGTTGTGCTGTTGTCAGGTTGCTTTGCATGCTGTTCTCGTTGGACAACGTTGTTGGAGCCGTGCCAAACATGCATGCAATCCACTCATTGTGTACAGATACTTGCCAGAGATAGGTGTTGACCAACAAGTGGGTCGCCGCCAATCTTCTGGCAAATCGGGAAATGCAGCTCGGAGCCTCTGCGTAGCTGGCGCTTCAGCGGGGGATCACTTAGACCAGGCTCAATCCAGAATCTCAAAAAGGAGGTGCTATGCGCTATGCCACTCTTTCGCTGTGCTCGCCTGAGGTTGCAGTTGTTGAGTTTTTCCCCAAGAAAGTCTCTGCTGTGTGGGATCGTTTTGTTTTTTCTTCTACATAGGGCCCTTGAGTTTGGAAATTTTCCTTTTGGCCGTATGCTCCACATGTTCGTGAGCTATGTTCAGCCCGGGTTCAGCAAGTACCCTGTTCAATTCATTCTCTTTTGTGTGAGATGAACAAGACCCTTTGCCTTCGATCTACATTCAGACGGTACAACGCAACTCTAGCAGTTAGGCCGTTTCCCCTGGCGTGACTTGGATGTCGGGCACGCGCCAGGCAGCCAAGAAGCGGCGCAAGGGCTTCCAGTGAGTGCGATAGCCACCATGCCCAAGCCAATGGGAACCCTCTTCGAGCCATCCAGTCAGTGCAGATTGCGTGGCAAGTTTTCTTGGCTGGACCTCAAGCATTGATTTCCAGTTGTGAGCCGGACGCGATGTATTCATCTTCATGAAAGTGCGAGCTGCTTGCCTGTTTGGCCCTTCACGACTCAAAATTCAGCCACCTTCAACGCTGATGTGGCTGCAGATGGCCAGCTTAGCTTTGTAAGTCAATCCGATGCCAGGGCAATGATTTGAACGCAACTTGCGACAGCAAGTCATTTAATTTTCAGTTCAATGAATGCTTTCCTTGTAAGAGCGCCGGACACGATAATTGCTGTTTATACATTTATTACGTTAAGTTGTTCTCTGCCAGCTTTCTGTTGGCGGCCAATATAACCGAATGTTGATAGTCTTGGGACAAACAACAACCTGTACTGCGCGAAGCCACCTTGAAAGTTCAGTTCTTTGGAATGCCAGCATCGCAGACCAGTGCTTGGAGACAATCGACACAAGCACACACCCACACGTACACGGCCACACACACACACACGCACAGAGATACACACAAAAGGAAACACACAGAAACACACAGAGACAAAGATAGGCTGCACAGCCATGCTCTCACCCACCCTGCCCACACTTATACTCACACTTGCACACCACACACCCACACACCCACACACCCACACACCCACACACCCACAGTCCCCCACACCCACACACCCACACACCCACTATTAAAGTCACTATTATCAAACCACACACCCGCACGCCCACTCAGCCACCCACGCACAGACGCATGCGCCGACGACGCCAGCGCGATCGCGCGCACCAGCAACACACGCACAGAAGCATGCACTGCCGCACGCACAGACGCAAACAAAATGAAGCACTGAGACACACACACACACACAACGCCGACAATGCAAGCACAGGCACAAACATAAAACAGACACACACACACACACACACACAGAGAGCCGTGCAGGCACGCACGTGCGCACGCCCGTCGCCCGCGCCCGCTCGCAGGAATCCATTTAGCCTTGGCCTGGTACGGAACTTCAAGCAGTTCTTATGCTCCCAGCAGGACATGGAGTGCTTTCTCAAGTCCGCTTTGGAGAATCCAGATGTCAGAGGTGCAAAAGGCCATGCTACAAGAAAAAGGTATGCCTTGATGACGCCTGCATGGCGAAGACAGATGCTCCCCTAGCCATCCCTGCTTGCCAAACCTGCAAGGAGCCCACGTTGCTGAAGCCAACAGCCCTGGTGTTTGTCAGACACCCAGTCTGCCATTGACTCCAAAGGATTTTTGCTGCTCTCATGTTGGCACAATAATACACCGGGACCTACCAACATGGCCCGTCATTCAGTCCCGCTGCGTCCTCAGGCTTCGCGGCACATGCGCGACGTACCTCCAGACGCACAGGTTTGAGCTTGAGAGTTTAGCTCATCCAGAAGTGAGAGGGCCCACTAAATTTACTAAATCCTCAGATCCTGGCAAGGAACAATCAGCTCCTGTGACGTTTTGTAGTTCAGATCAAGCTGCCTTCTTGCTACAAGTGCCAGGCGGGGAGTGGGCAGGCACTTTCACCTAAGCTTACGGTGTAAGTAGTGACAGGGCCGGCACAAGTGCCAGAAGATCCTTTGGCATTGTAAGGAACTCGCAGCATCAAAAATGGAGTGGGCAGCTGTACCTGCTTGACTTGGAATCTGTGTTTCGCTCATGCTGGCAGAACATTAAGCAGCTTGGAGATGGCAGCGGGACAGGTCTTGGAGGTGATTGCTTCCAGACATAGCACTCATAGTTTCGATGCCGTCCCCAACCATAGTAGATCCGAAGTTGCCTTTGAGCATCAAAACTGGTCGCGGCTAAGATGCTACCACGTCGCAGAGAGCATGTCCAATGTTTGTGATTACAGCTCATTGACAAGGAAAAACCCTGTTTATGTCAGCACTCATGGAAGGTTCCCCCGGCACCATCCTTGCACACTTCCAGCAGCTTCAGCTCTCACCATTTTGCTGCCGCACACAGCAACTTTGGGGCCTGGGTGAAGAGCACTTCGTTCCATCCTGCCTTGCCATGCCGGCCGCGATTTGGGCTGAGGAGATGGCGTCACGTGTGCCATTGCACATTTGCGGCAAAACGACAAGCCAGATGCTGCAAGTTGGCTCGCTGGCTTTCCGGGCATGTAACTGAGCCCCTTGCACTCAACGGTCGCTGGCAAGCCTGAGTGGATAGGCGAAAGCGTCAGCGTCTTGAGAGTCTGGTTTGTGTCACGGCTGTGTTTTTTTGAAGTTTGTCGGGATGGGGATGTCATTGTCAGGAAGTGGCGAGAGCGTTAGGGTCGGTCAGGACATTGATAGGAGTTTCAGGGTGTTTGTCGGGGCCGAATTTGGCGGGCATTTTGTCGGGTTTCAGAATGTGGCCTGCTACAGTACTGGGAGAGGACCACATTTGGGAGGGGAGGGTGGCAGTGTAGGAAAGATCTATGACATGGGAGCATTCATGTAGCCGGGGGGGGGAAGACACATCACGCAGATGTTCTACTTGTAGAAATTAGTCAATATCAGCGCATATGATGCATCAAGAACGGCAAGTAGTGAAATCAAGTGGGAACCCGAACTGGAAAGAAGAAACCAAGCAAACCTAAACGAGCTGTTGTTCGTTTATTTGCCTGCCTGCTTGCCGGCTGTCAGTCTGCTTGTCTGTCTGCCTGTCTGGCTGTTTGTTTGACTGTCCATTTGTTTATGTGGTTGGTTGTTAGCTTGCTTATTTGCTTGTTTGTTTTGCTAGCTAGCTCGCTGGCTCGCTGGCTTGCTCCATTTGCTTGCGCGTTGCTTTTGTGCATGTGCATGTGTCAAAGTGCAGTTGGCGCAGCGTCTCATTGGCCAGCCTTAAAACACTGCGGTTTGTTGCCCTGCCAATGGTATTGCAAATTCCTCGTTGGAGTCGGTGCTGACACTTTGAAATATTGTGGCACGATTTGGGACCACCGCACTGTGAGGACTCCATGTATGATGCGCTGTTGCGGCCTTAGCCAGCAATGTTTTGCGTTGCAGCATATTCCCCCCACTCTTGCAAGGAATCAAGGTCAATTATGGGCAAGCTTCTGGGGCTTTGCAAGGGGAGCAGCCTGACCAACAGTAAAGGTTGGACATTTGGTTGTTGACATATGCCAGACAAAGCAACCTCTGCAGCTGGACCGCAAGGTTAGTTAGGTGTTTACGGCTTGGCGCGGCGTCGGCCAGAATTCGCAATCTCCTGCCCGTATCAAGCGATATGTGCAAAATTCCGCGAGTGCAAAGGTCTGAGGTCAACAAGCACATTCCCAAGCTCTTGGAGCGATTTCAGGCAGGGAGCGTGACGCTGGCATCGCTACATGTGAGCCTCTTCAGAAAGCTGACTTTATCGATTGGATACGCTGGGTGCCTGCGAATACTGGAGTTCGAACGAACCGCATGCAACATGAGTGCAACATACCTTTACACTGCAGAATGGAAGGACGATGTTGGCTTGAGTTCTTACAGCAACTTTTCGCTTTGGGTCCTTGATTGGCGCATGTCTTCCGCATAATAAATTCAGCTGCAGGAATTCTTTGCTTTTTCTCCTCTTCAGTATGATGAATTGAGCAGCTGGAGTTTCCTGCAGTCCCTATGCCACGATTCTTCTACGTTAGAGCAACCTCCTCTTGTGGAAGGTCAGGAAGATGAGAGTAGAGCCCAGAAGCTAGCATGAAGAGGTTCCTCTTTGCGCTGGGATATCCACCAGTCCGATTTGGAAATTATGCAATGAAAAGCGAGGCCTTGCAAGACAGCTTTGTCTCAGCAAGCTATGAGCTAGTGATACTGTGGACCCACCATCATCCTGCCGCTGGAGCATAGTTTGAACAGTGGGAACAGGGACCGACTGTGCGGTTGGCATGTGTTTGTGAGTAGAGACTATGGAGCGCAAAGGGCTGAACATGTTTGCTCAGCGGGCCTGGAATTCGAGACGCTAGTTGGGAATATTGGTCAGTTACTCGGTCAGTTGCTTTAGTTGCTAGTGTTGCCTTGCGCTTTGAAGCCGCTTGAGAGAATTTGCCCAGGTTGAGGAGGCGCTATGCTTTGCCGTGCGAGACTGCAAGTTCAGCGCTTCCCGGCATTGGAATGGCCTGGATGGCGAGGGAATGGTTTGGATCAGGTCCAACCAAAGTTGACAAAATGCATAAAATCCATCAAACATTAATCGGCAAGGATGCATCAAAGCGGATCAGATATGCGGCTTCTTCACTTGGTCAGGACGCATGCCAACAGAAATAGCTTACGTCACTCGCAAGGCACGGGCCATTGGCCATGCCGCAGAGCAGTTGTATGAAGAAGGCAGAGGTGCGCAAACACGCAGACACCACACACACCCACGCGCACAAAGTAACTATTACGCAACTAATTGACTGACTTACACTAGCTAGCTAACCAAGTATCCAAATCACTCACTCACTCACTTACTCACTCACTCACTCGCTTACTCACTCACTCACTCACTCACTCACTCACTCACTCACTCACGCACGCACGCACGCACGCACGCACGCACGCACGCACGCACGCACCCATGCACCCATGCACCTACCCCACCCCGCTCGCCCGCCCGCCCGATCCCGCCCGGCCGCCCACCCACCGCTCCCACCCACTCGCCCACACGCCCACTCAGCCACACACCCCCAACGCACCCACGCACGTCCGCGCGCACCCGCACGCACGCAATCACTCACGCACTCGCTTCCTCATTCACTTACCCCTTACTCACCCACCCACTCCTTCCCTCGCGCGCTTGCTCACTCCCTCACTCCCTCACTCATTCGCTCACTCTCTCCCACTCTATCTCTCTCTCAATTTCTCTCACTCATCTCTCTCGCTCACTCACTCTTTCTTGCTCTCTGTCCCTCTCTCTCTCTGACTTTCTTTGACACTTTCTCACTCTCTTTTACTTACACTGTCTTACCTTTCGCTCTCACTCTTCACTTTCTCTTACTCTCTCTCACTTACTTTCACTCTGTCTCACTCTTTCTCTCTCTCTCTCACCATTTCTCACTCTCTATCTCTTACTCCATTTTTGTCTCTCCTTCTCTCTCTCACTCTCACTCACTCACTCACTCACTCACTCACTCACTCACTCACTCACTCACTCACTCACTCACTCACTCACTCACTCACTCACTCACTCACTCACTCACTCACTCGCCCAGTCGTTTACCTCGCCTCGCCTGGCCTCAACATACTCTCTCACTCCACTCACTCCACTCACTCCACTCACTCCACTCACTCCACTCACTCCACTCACTCCACTCACTCCACTCACTCCACTCACTCCACTCACTCCACTCACTCCACTCACTCCACTCACTCCACTCACTCCAACAACGACACACCCACACAACATCACAACGCAAGGCAACGCAACACGACATATTAGCAACTCTCAGCACTAAACGCAACACAACTTAAGACAACTTAAGCTACACAACACAACGTGGCCCGAGCCAGCATACACGCACCCACCCACTCACCCACCCACACAAACCCACAAACACATAAACCCGCACACAGACACAAACATGCACACACACACACAGAGACACACACACACACAAGCGAACAGAATCATGCACACTTCCCAAACATACACACACAACACAAACACACATACACCCACACACCCACCCACCCGCAGGCATTCACGCAGCCCGCGCGAGCGCACGCGCGCGCGCGCATGCTTGCGAGCAAACCACACACACATGCCCACACGCGTACGGCCCCACACGCCGCCACGCCCAGACCCATGGTGCGCATCCGCACACTCACGTCACCCACACCTGCACGATCTTCAAAGATGGTCGCACACACACACACAGACGTACGCGCACAGACAGACACCCTGCACGTGCGCACGTGCGTGCGCACGAATGCGCGCACACGCGCACGCGCACGCTCGCGCGCATGCTCCGCAAACTTCCGCACACCCGCGCGCACCCCGGGGCACGCGCGCCCTCACACCCGCACGCACGAGCGCACGCGCTAGCGCACGCACATGCATTTGCACTCGCACTTGCACTCTGACTCAGACTTACACTCCAATTCAATCTCACACTTACTCTCACGCGCACACACACACGCATACACACACCCACCCACCCACCCACCCACGCACGCACGCACGCACGCGCGCGCACACGCGCACACGCACACACACACACAACCCAACCGTGTGTCAATGTACAAGACGACCTTCACGTTTCATGGCATGGCATAACTTCGCCCCGTGAAGACTATTTGGAACATGTTTGATGCAAAGTAGAGCACGACGGTGCCAGCGTGTAGTGGCGCTATGACTCATGTGCATTGGTTACTACAGTATGGTGATATGATTTCATTGGGCTTCTTCGCCCAGGTTTCCATCGCTGACCCGCAGCTTCCGGACGTGCCACTGATCGCAGTGTCGGAGGCGCTCAAGCACGATGTTGAAACCATGCCCGCAGACTCACGCAATTGACGAGCTTGCGGAAGCCTTTGCACAGAGACGAGCTGGCCGGACCAGCATGGAGTCCCAATTTTTGGGAGTTGGAGTCGGAGTACTCAAGTTCAGCAACCGTGTCCTTTGCTCACCAACGGTCATGAACTCGTATGTCGTGTTACTGTAACATTCATGCCACTGCCCCCTGTTTTGAGCTTTGGACCGTATTGGGGTGCAGCAGCGTCAATTGCGGAGAGTGCTTGTTTGCAACTTCTCGTCAGGGCTTTGAGAACGTGACGGGCTATGCCTTGGCTGACGTCCAGGGGCTCAACTGTCGCTTCTTGAACGAGGCAAAGAGCCAGTGTGTGGCCTGATGCGTTTGGTTTAACCCCCTCCCCAAAAGGCATAGGGGTTCTTCAGGTATGCGCTACTAGTTGCACATCCCCCACTTTTGTACCCCGGCTCGTGTCACTGCCAGTTACTGCTAGTTGAAAAAGCGAACCGGGAACTTGTGTAACGCACAAGCACCGCACAGAAGACTGTAGGCTATGGTGCTGAGGCTGCGGATACTCTCGCCAGCGTTTCTTATGCCCCTTCTCGCCTGCTCAGTCACATCCACGCAGATGACATGTCCTGATGCAGCCATGGCAGCTCAAGAGATTCAATGTATTTGAAGTCTTGACCTACTGCACAAATGGAGCCTGATGTAGCCATGCTGGAGGACTGGGCTCAGCCCACAATACTTTGTGACTTTTCAGCACGATGTTGGATCAAAGTTCCGCAAATTGAAGATTGAAACTGGACGAGTAGTCAGTGTTCAAGCAGGACAGATGTTGATTGAACAAGTGGCATGTTTGCCTTCTAAGATTCTATTCACTGCGCTTGGCGTGAGTGCAGCATTTGCCCAATACATCCTACCACCTACCTTTTCCATACGATCGCATGCATCAATGGTTTCGCCGAAATGCAACGCTGAGGCAGAGTGACATGTTCGTTCCCGGTCCGATTCATATGCCGGCTGGGTTCAAGTCAACGGAGCTAGCCTTTGCGCGATTTCAACGTGATGTAGAGAAACATTTGTATAACTGGTGAAGCCCAGGGGTGCTTTGACCCCAAACAAAGGACACATCGGTGAGTGACAATGATGCCCGTTACAGCACCATGAATGGTAGCACGCGCAGCAATAACGGCAGCCCAACCCATTGACATGGTTGTTCCAAAATAGGGCAATACATAGTTCGCGGCGGGGCGCCCCTGCTGGGAGTGTGTAAGTGTAGCATAGGTGCACTCTCAATGCAACGCGGCTTGTCAATGTCACTCGCCGCCCGTGAATCTTGCAAAAAATGCGCCTGCGCCGCCGCCAGAACCTCAAACAGTGCAGCGCCCCAAACAGCGCCCCAAACCCGCGCCTGAACCAGCACCCCAAAACAATTAAACTGCATGCCCCCCTCAGCAGCTTGCCGTCAATCTTGCAAACGCGCGGTGGCCAGTGCCTCCAACAGCACCCGGACAGCAGACGCGCCCCCCGCTTCTCTAAGTTGCCTCGCTGAATTGTCTTCTTAGTATTGGCTTTCCCCTTGATTTTCCCTTCATGTCCTTTTCATGTCCCGTCATTCATTTCCTATGATTTCCTCGTCACCCTTCCTTCGTTTCGCTTCAATTCCCCCTTCATTTCCCTGTCATTTTCTCGGTATGTCCGCTTCATTTTCCATGTATGTCCCTTTCATTGCCAGTCATTTCCCTACATCTTCCTTGGTGTCCTTTGATTTCCTGGTCCTTTGTTTCCCTGTTATTCCCCCTTTTCACTCCCCGGCTTAAGGAGGTCAAGAACACAGAATTTGTCCGAACCAGCGAAGAGCCGGAAGGGGGCGCGCGGTATGTGGGGGGCCCCCTTCCGGCTTTTAGTGTCCGACACGCCGAGCCATGTCGGCGGATATATGTGTCGCAGGTTCAATGACCGTGCGGCGATTAAGTAATCCGAGGCTATGCCCTTCCCCGAAAAATGTCACCACAGTGTTGCTGTGCGCTGTATTGTTGGCGAAGCTGCTTTCTGGTGTTAATTACCGTTCGAACTGAATCGTTTGCAGTGCCAGGACGGTCCGTTGCGGCGAACGATTGTGCTCCAGGCAAGGCCGCATGTACAAAATTTATAGAGGGTCATGAGGACACCGCTGTGTTCAGCCACATGTTTCAGAAGTGGCACCACAGCCTTTCTTGCGCATTTGCTTACCGCAGAGCCTATTGGCTTTGCTTGTGGTTGCACTTGCAAGCGACTGCCAGGAATGCCAAACCCTGATGCAGCTTCAGAGAGACCAGCGTGCAACATTTGATAACCGGTTGCAGCTTCTTGGCATGAGCACTCCAGCACGCACTGTGTTTCTAGTATAAACCAAATTTTACGTGCCCAGTCAGGAGGGCCCGAACCAGAGATGGCCGGCCTCCGTGATTTCGGGCCGCCCATTTTGATACTGGGTTTTGATGGTGACTCGCCTGGGCTGTGATTGCTTCATCATTGTAACACAAACAGGAGCATGCTGGAACTTGGATTTGTCAGAAAGGCGATGCTCCTCGAATTTGGGAAATTTCAGCCAGAATCTATAATGCATCCAATTTCAGCCGAAGTCACGAAAATTTGCCGGAATCAGCAAAAACAGCCGGAATTGGACCGCTGAGGCTCAAGGAGAATAATACTCATAGTCGCCGGCATGGACTCAAGTTTCCTATTCGGAAAGTTTCGCCAGAATTGTGGGAAGTTTCGCCAAAATTGCGGGAAGTTTCGCCGGAATTGCGGAAAGTCATGCGACACAAGCCGCCAAAAAACAATGCAACAATCATGCTCAAACTGCCAGTTGAAGAATGGCCGAAAGGCTAAAGAATTGGCCGGAGGCAAAAAGGACACTTTTCCGGAAAGGGCTATTATTTCAGGGCAGTTTGATTTTCTAGGTATATCACTTGCGGTGCACATCTATTGTCGACTTAAAGCAGAATAAGGCAAGCCTCCTGTGGCAATTTCGTTGCCCGTAATGCAATTCCGCCAGATACAGTGAGAGCCCGTTCTTTGTGAAGTGTCTCGGTGAATGCAAAGCTGCTTTTTCCTGCCACGCGTGTCCTTGAAAGCCCGGTCACATTTGATTCTGTGAGCTTGGGCCTAAACACCGAGCGGTTGCTGCCAACATGTATAGCGATGTTCGTGTCAAGCCACCTGCCTTCAGCAAGAGAGAGGGAGCAAGCAATGCGTCGACACAATCGAAAATGCATGACGCTACAAACAGAGCGACAGGTTTGGCCTGCTAGCTTTCATTGCTTAGGTCTGCCTTCGAAAGAATCACTGTGGCTATGCAAAAGAGCCACGAAGGCATGGCGGCAGTCTCTTCGACTACTCGGCAGATTTTGCAACTTGCCAGAAGCGGAGCACAGCAATTTGCGTCAACTGAAGACCGTTTGATTGAGACACTGTGCGTGCCCCAGTTTCACACTTCGGGCCTTCCGGACAGGGACAATTGTTGCAACTATTCATATTGAGCCAACACTAAGCTGCTGCACCGCACCTTAGTTGTTGTAACCTCCGGCGGAAAGTTTTTGGAATGCTGCTACTAGCAGTGCCAACAGGTTCTGTCGGCTTCCTGTCCGTCAAATTGCTGCGAGGACAGAGGCGTGCGAGCCAGCTCCACAGATTCCCTTTTCGGAGGAGGAGGAGCCCTTTGTGCCAGCCTCCCAGCCAAGCGAGACTGCGCTTTTGCAGACACTACACATGGCGACTCCTCGTGCTTCAATATCATCAGCTATGTTCCCAGCAGCTTGGCGTTGATGACCTGGGTGCTGACAGGAGGATGACAACTTAAGGGAGGCCCCGTGATTGCCATCGTTGCTTGAAAGCGTTGCAGAATGGACCTGGGATTGCAGCCTTGGAATTTCCAGCGGTTGCTTTGTTCCTACCCTTTCATCCTTAGGCTCAAGAATTTTGGCAACCGCAGAAGCCAGAAAGAGGGGTCCTGTGGCAAGCCTGAGCTTTTTCTGCTCGCTGCTGGCTTCGTTTTTTGCCTCAGGGGCTAAAGGAGGTTGTCCACTGCCGCTCGAGCCGCGTTTGAAAGAGAATGCTCATTTTACACAAACGCACGTTTCGCCAAAATACTTCACGGGACAATGATGTTTGGCGGTCTGTGTTCATTCCGCCGATTTCCTCCCAGTTTCTTCTGAGGTCCGCTGATGTTCAGGTTTCCAAGACACAACTGGCCATAGCGGCTCAAGCCACTATTTCCACTCAAAGCGAAGACTTGCGCTCAGTTTTTATCATGACGCTTGCGCTTCACGTCCTTATACTTTGTGCAACAAGCCAAACCTTTTGCTCCTTTTGCTCCTGCTTCCCCTTTTGCTCCTGCTTCCCGTGACCCTCTACATGCGCAAGCCAACCTCTGGCTGCTGTGCAAATGTTTCCTCGCAGACCGCACCCGAGGCCACTCTGGAGGTCCGACGTCCCTCGGTGAGCTCTGAACCCGACCAACTGCAACCTTCGGGGCGCTCTTCAGTCAAAGACATGGAGGGGCTCTGAAAGTGTCTCTGAATTGTTGCCAGGCCTATAGTACACAGTACACCCCCTCCCTGTAATCCTGTAGTTGGCTCGTGGTGTAGGGTTGGCTTAGGATTTGTTTAGGGGTTTTGGGGTAGTTTTGGTTTGCTTTGGGGTAGTGTTGGGGTTGGATTAGGGCTGGTTTCAAACGACGAGGAGACAAGCACGTATGATACCGTATGATATGAATACTGGCAGGATCAGCCTGGTTTCGACGCATGTGTTTTATAGCATCCCCTGCATGCCCAGTAGCATCCTTTGCAGGAGGATGACCTGATGACGATGAGGGTGATGATGATGACGATGATGATGATCAGCATGATCACTCTTCTCGTGCGTTTTGCTATTGCGGACAAGGGGTCTGCGGATCTAGCGAATGCCCAATATAGACTTATCAGAGTTTGTAGAATGCCTTTGGTACATTTTGCATCGTATGCCTGACAATTTCCTAGCATAGATCTGGACATGTCTACCATGCTTCTGACAAATACTTTGCACAGCGTTTGGTATGTGGCTACCGTGCGTGTGTCATATGTGCAACATATTCCTAGCGTAGATCTAGTACACGTTTGCTATAGTTCTATCACGTGTCCTACCCCTGGCGTCTTAAACCAGGTTCCCAGCATACGCCAAATATTATTCGCCTACTGTAGCATATTTGGCACACATCAAGTGCAAACCTAAAGAGTGTTCCTGCTTTATTTGAATCATGTGCCGGATAAACAATACGTTTTATCTACTGAATTGTTCGTAGTAGCTTCTTATAATGTGTTGCGCATATCT